TTTCCGTGCCTTGCGATCTTTGTGTAGGTGGGGGAAAGCCCAGGATCCCTAATCCGAACCATAACCGTTGATACGGGAGTTTCCGAAAATAAGGGGTACCTTGTTTTGGGGTCCCGAAAAAAAGGATCCAACTATTTAGGGTACTATATTAGGGTCCCCTATTTTCGGAAACCCCCATGTACTCAATCCCCTAGACCCTCGACCCAACACCCCCTTATTGCGAGGCAACTCAGTCAGCTGCGACAGGGCATCACGCCATAGGAGGGAAGCCAAAACTCCTGAGGCCAAAGGCATTAACACCATGGGGAAATCAATCGTCAATCGCCGAAGCCCTGAACCCTAAAACCCTACAACCCTAAACCCTAAAACCCTAAAGCCCTAAACTCTAAAACCCTAAAAATCCTACAACCCTAAACCCGTGTTTTCTTCGATCCTTTAAGGGCTTTGAGGGTGAAGGGTTTTCCAGTGGTATGCAGCTCACGGTCTCGGGACATGTTGCAATTGCTGGTTTCGTAGCAAGTTATGCATGGATTGCAAGATTACAGAAAGTAGAGTGCGGCTGAGGATCAAGGCTCCAAAGTAAAAGCACGAACACCGCAAGCAGCTATTCCAGGCAGTGTGAAGCGCTTTGTTACAGTCTTTGCGTTTCTTGATTCCGTGCGGTCAGGATTTGGGGGCTCCAGGGTCCACCCACTCTACTCTGGACAGCTCGAGCTGGTGTGCTCTTAGTCATGATAAATAACGAGGGCTGCCGAATGAGTGCTCCTGTCCGTCTGTCCCTGCAGGGTCCGGCAGGTCTTGGCGGCTTTTGCAGGATTTTCAGACAAGAGTTCCAGAGGTAGCAAGCAGTCACTCAAGGTCTCCTTCTCGACCGTCCAGGACGGCTGACATCAGGATGCCTGGGCAGGACGAGTCTTCACATCGGTTCGACGTTTGGGGCTCAAGCGACTTGGTGGAGTTTTGGGTCGTTGCACCGTCTTGGCTTCTGGGCCAGCTGGCAGACCGTTTCTATCAATGATCGAAGCAATCCAACCTGGGACCAGAAACCCCACCCTTTCGACATCAGGCAAAAAGTTTTGTGCTACTGCTACGGACTGCGCGAGCATGCAGTTGTAAAGCCGCGCTATTGCCAATCATTGCTACCCATGGAGACAATCTTAATCCCTCAAATTTCCAGGTCTGAGATTCGCCCAGATATTTTTTGAATCCCTTCCACTGTTTGTGACTGGCTTCGCCTAAACAGTGAGACGCGACACACCATCCGAAGCTGAGCTGCCGATTGGAATCGATGATGCCGACATGGTCCAAACCACGGACTGTTGCACGATGGGCGTATCTGCGATTGCCTGGCTGGACACCCTGGAGGGCTTAGGGATTCTGAAGCCCTTTCTTGGGGTGTCAAGTGAGGGGTTCAGGTGTTGTCAGGGTCTTGCCGTCTTGCTGTAGTGCGGCTAGCAGCTAGCGTAAAGAATCCATCGTGTTCCATCCGGGTCTCGCGATTGAGACCGTACTTCCCGAGAGCAAAACTCTCCAGAGAAAACAAATGCCCCAATGCCTAAACCCGGAACGATAAACTGCACAGCTTTTGCCATGCATGGTCTCGTTTGGGATTCTAACGCCTCGGAAGTCTGGTCGAGGAAGCGATAAATCGAACCTTTGGTGCGGGAGCTGCGAGGTGTTCCGCCTCCTACCAAGGAGTCACGAGCCCGCCTTGCATGTGGGGTAAGCTCGGGGCCTAAGTAGGGCTGTTTTTTTTATGGTGTTTCGAGGTTTTTTTGACTTCAGGACTGAAGCTACAAGGATCTTCTACGCCCATGGGCTGAAGTCCAAGAATTTCAAGAAGAAGAAGCTACCATTATGAAAGAAGCCCTAGCTCTAGGCCCGACTTCGCAGGGTCAGCATGCGATAGGCGGAGAGTTCTCTCCAATTCCAGCTGCAAAGCTGCGTATGCACATGGGTATGCATCCATACACGCCGTTTACATGTGCATGTGGATCCATCTGGATCCCATCTAGTCCACACTCCTTCTATCGCAGTCGCCTTGGCGTGGCATTGTCGCAATGCGCTTTTTAAGAGTCTGCGCTCGGGTGAGCTGATGGCCCAAACGGCAATGCTTAGATGCTTGACTTGAGGGTGTAGACACTCCATGGGGTAGTTCTGGTACGTCATCACAAGCATTCTCACAACGAAAGTGGTGGTGCTGAGCGAATGGCCTAGTAGACTGCAACTATCAACACGTCCAACTGAAAGCATGGGACACCAGCAGCAGCAAGACCAGCAGCAAAGCCACTAAGACTTGTATCACGACCGCTAGCGTTGAGTTTTTCGCAACAACAGCCACTGCACCAACAAATGTAGTTTGCAGTTTGCAGCACTCCACTTCTGCCGCCCAGCGTGCCATATGCATATTTTCGGATGCTCTCGCATGCCTAGTACTGCAATATGCCTACGAAGCCCTCAATCCAGAACCGCAAGCACCGCTGTTTGGGCCTGCTACAAAAGAACTGCCAAAGAGAATCAGCACAAGCAGCTCGCTTACCAAATGCCACAAATTCCGTCTCACTCCGTGTGCTTTCCCATCAGGGTGTTCCAGGCAGTTATGTGGACTGTAGTCTTAAGTCTTGAAGTTTCAATAAGTCCAGCCTGAGTGTATCCTGTGCCTAAATAACGACTGCGACAAGCGGACCAGCCCAAACTACGCCCAAACCCGACAAAACAAAAAAAACAGGCAAACAGGTCTGGCCGTACCCAGGCGTTCACGAGGTTACGCGCAGCATCGGAGAAGATGAAAGCGACCACACACAGCACCTATTGTCCAGGGGTGGCCGGTTGAGCCGTAGCTTCCTAACCCAAAAAACTATTGCGAAGGAACGACTAAAGCCCTCCAAATCCTCGAGCCATCTCAAGAGCAAGTGCCAGTGGCTTTCCTGAAGCAAAGTAGGCAGAACGGACGGTCTTCCGCAAGAATGGGCCATCCGTGGGGGTCTATCGCCCCCGGGCTTCCAGAGTTCCGAGCTTTCGCGTTCACCCTTCGGGCTTTCGACCCGAGAGCTGAAGTACATCCGGGGCGAGGATGGAGGATCCGCCATGGGGGCAGCCACCGGCTTGAGATGATATCGGGCTTCCTCGTGTCCCTAGCTTTTCCTATTCTCGGATCACTGCCCGTGATGGACAAATCAAGCAGCTAAACCCTGAACTCATAACAACGCAGACTGTGCCCAGTGCCCCCTGCCCCAGGCCTGGGAAGACATCCCGGCCTGTGACGAGCTGGGAGATGTGGGATAACATGATAGGGGACCCTAATATAGTAGGGAAATAGTAGGATCCTTATTATAAGGACCCCAAAATAAGGCACCCTAAATGTGGGATGATGTGCACAGAACAAGCAGAGACGAGTCATGATGAGCTTGCGCATTCGAACGAAACCGCCAGATACCACATAACCCTGGGGCGAAGCACTTATGAAGGAGCCACGAAGACATCCGAGACCGCGGCGGAAGAGGAGAGCCAATTCGTCAGTTTCGTGTTCAGGTTTTGTGCCTAGCATCAGGCTTCGGGCTTCTAATGTCTTACGAGTCTAGGTTTTCGGGACACTCGGGTTCTAGTGGTGCCGGGTTTTAGATGTGAGGTGGGCTGCTTCTGTCTTCCTAGGAAGCAAGGCTCGGAAGCAATGCAGGGCTGAAGGCCGTGACCTCCTCGAACCAGGCACCTCAGGCTGAGAGATTTAAATCTTCAATACAGTATCCCTCAAATACGGGACCCAATTCTCATAGGGGCACTTTAGCGGTATCTATAGTGTGTGAACTTCTAAGCTGTGCTTCGCTTGGAAGGTAGGCCGTCGACTAATTTTTGCTATTGCAAAAGAGCGGAACGACCCTAAGACGAGCCAAAGGGGTTCACGAGGGGGTCTGGAGTTCAAGATCTATGAACTAAGGGCCCCTCTCTCAGGATTCCAATTCGAATTGAGGGCGTGCATGTATGTATGCATGTGTGTATGTACGTTTGTATGTATATATACATGTATACATACATGTATATATATACACACACACACATAGCATCTACAGTCTTTCAAGTATATGTATGTGTATATGTGTTTGTACATAGCCACACCCATGTGTATGTATTTGTGTATATATATATATATTATACGCACATACATATCAGAGTTAGAAAACATAGATGCGCATCAGAAATTTAAGAGTGCATCGTTGTCTTGGCAGGGCTTTTTGCCTTCTTATGAAGGCGGCGCGGTGATTGTAGCACTTTATTTCCTAGCGATTCTAGCAGTGGATTCTTGAGCGGTTGCACGTCACAAGCAGGGTTGGAGTCCGTAGGTACAGATGGTTCTTGATGCATGTCGGTCCATCCCACAACGGAGCTCCAGTTTAGAACGAAACTGAATATGGCAATAGCTTCTGAACACCTGGACTCCTCTAAACACAGCTGGACAAGTCATGATGCTAGTGAGAAGGTTTCGGGCCGATTCGGTGAAGGGGTTTTGGTTTGGGGTTCGCTGTGGGGTAGGGAGGGTGCACGCCGACACAAACCGTGCAGTCAGCGCACAACTTGGCAATGGAAAACTCAACACCAGTTTCGCAATATAATGAGTGAAGGCCTGTAAACCCCAGCTGCGCCCCTGCTGTCAATGTCAGGACGGCACGGTCCAAGAAAAAGATTCGCGGCCGCTCCTGACGAAAGCTTGGCTTGCTTACCTCGGGTTCAGCTAGAAAGGAGGCATGCGATGGGCGTCGCTGGCAAGTTGCAAGATCCGCTGGGCTATGTCGGCAGTGACAGATCACCTCCTCCTCCTCCTCCTCCGCCTCCTCCTACGACTCCTGCTCTACTGCTCCTTTTGCTGCGAGTCGTCTTCCTGGACATCCCGGTCAAAGATAGTCCCGCAGAGACAACGCAGGTTACATATATAGAGTTGATGTGCAGGTGCTTCTTTTTCCTTGCAGCCGCAGTCCAGCGCGTGGCTCTGAGCTGTGCCTTGCGGCTCAGTCTGAGTCGTCCCTGTCCGCCTCGTTGATGTTGAAATACCTCAACATAGCATGCGAGAAAGCACGAACTCGAACCACTTGAATAAGATTTCGCTGTAATTCTCCAAAGTCCCAAGAGGACTCCAATGGCATGTTGGCAGCCATTCACACCAGTATCTGATCTTGTGCATGCTTCTCATGGAGGAACAGCATTTCAAGAAGGAATGGCTTCTCAGAAGCTCAAGTAATTAGAAGCACCCCTCTGCATTCATGACCGAAGCACCTCATCTCGTATGAAGTTTTGCTCGGCGCGATGATGCGCAAGAAGTCGCGAAGGTTCTGTGCTTTCAGATACCTGAAATCATTGCAGGAGCAGACACGTGTCCAAGGCACCGATGCGACTTACCACGAAGTCATGGCCAAGGCCGTTAGCGCGAGTCGCCACATGAAAGTGAGCCGAAGATACTTCTTCCCCAAGTACTTCAGGTAGCGCTTGGAGAATGGTGCCTTCGCAAAGGCTGCGCAGACATGGTGTCTGAAAGCCCTAGCCGGACCAGAAAGGATAGCCCGCATCTGTTACATGTCGCCTTGGCTGGCCACATAAGCAAAGGTAAAACCACGCGAGAACACAGAAGCGAACAAATCCACACGCACATGCTGATAGGCACCCGCACTACCGCTCCACCGTGTGGGTGATAGCCAAGACTGACATAAAGTTTGACATAAAGATGCAGGAGACAAAGGGACGGGGGACCCAACCCACTCGCGAACATCCCGGCAGGCTTGCCGCGATCGGTTGCGACTATAGTAGTAACTATCTCCAAGTGAAAACTTCACAAAACTCTAGCTCATGCTTCACACCGCCCCCAAAAAAAAAGAAACATTTCTTTTTCGCGCGCTTGCATGGGCCTCTGCTGTGACGTGGATCTTCGCCTTCTCGCGGCTGATGCTCACCTTGCCAAGAGCCAGGGGGGGCCATGTGGCAAAGTGCATTTTCTAAATCCACCCCGAAACCCTAAAGGCCCTAAACCCTATAATTAACCCTATAACCCTAAAGTCCCCTGATGCTGCGTTTTGGAGAGTCTTTCCCCCAGCGAAAGAATCGAAAGAAGCAGAGGCCTCTGAAGCCTCCGCGCGCCTTGTCGCCGAGATTGCCAGTCTTACCCTCCACCTGCTCAGGAAAAAGCCGGCAAAGCCGCCCAAGACGCTGTGCACCCTCGTACATCCTGAACCCTCAGACTCCGACAAAGGGCCCCTGGCGAGCCGAGTTTTCAGAAGCCTGTGGCCACGCCCTCCCCCCCCCCCCAGACCAGAATGATCAGAATAATTAATTGGAACAGGGTGTTGGGGTAAATTGCTGTGCAACCCCATTCCGCTCGCATCTCCTGTTTGTTGATGCAATGCCGCACTCAGGCACCTAATCAGGCTCCTGCATTCAAAGCTACCTCCCCTCCTCGATGCGAGGGCCTTGATCCGATCCACCAGGAACTTTTCGAAGTCCCCGAGGTCGATGATCTTGTCGTCTACCGGCTGCCTCTGTTCGAAGGCCCTAAACCCTGACTTTTTTGAACTGATCTGCTGAGGGTTGGGGCTCTGGGACGGATCCATGCCAGGTTCCCAAGATCCGAAAATGGGCCAATCTCTTCTAAAACGCTCCAGTCTTCCAGCTCTGACCTTGACTAAGGCATACGGGTTCGGGGCAAAAAGCTGCTGTGCAAACCAGGGCACTGGCAGTTGATCGTAAACTTCAGCTGTGTAGCTTTCACCTTGGGTGCTGCCTTCTTGGGCGGCATGGTGATCCTGCGACGGGATTGGGGTTCATGTCACACAAAGCTTGTTCCACATTAACTCCAGTGCTCTCTTTTTTGGGCACGGCTTTTTGGGGAGGGGCAACAGATCTGAGGTCGGGGGAACCTTGAAACCAAATCGGAACTTGTCTGCACAAGTTACCGGGAGCCACTTGCTTGTTTACTATTTGTTTCCTCAGCCCAGTGCCAGAAACTACAAAGTGTAACAAGTCAATACGTCCGACCAACCATGCTTCCTGCGTTTTTGTTTTGCAGTGGCTTGCTCGTGGTAGGAACGACGACCCTCCCTAACCCTAAACTCCACGCTCCCTATGAGCCCAAAAATGCTAACCTCTGAAGCTCGAAACCCAAAGCGTGAACCCTCCAGCCTTGATGGCAAGGACCGGCCCCCCCGTCCACCCGTTCCGCGGGCCGAGTGGCTGCGGGGGGGGAGAAGCAGATGCTTCCATGAAGGAATGGGAGTTTAGAGGGATATGTTGTTCAGACTTAGGGGCTTAGGGCTTAGGGGTTTAGGGTTTGGAGCTTCGGGGTTGCGGAGGATTGCAAGCTGTCAACATGCCTCCCAAAGCTCTTGTAGCGGCATAGAGACCCTTCTCGCAGGCTAACCACCACAAACAACTTCATAAACCTGCATGCTACCCAAGATCAGACGCCCATATCGCGAATCCAGCCCTCCCAGTCCCACGCCCGAACTCAGAGGTTTCATGCCGTATACCTGAACCCTAGAGAACCTACCTTATTGTCTTAGGATTCCTTCATATGATTTCCTGGTACAAGTCCTGAAAAAGGTAGTTTAGTTGGGATCCAGGTACACCCTAAACCTGGAAGGAATCTCTGGGGCCAGGAGACGTGGGGAGAGGAAACGGGCATGCTGGTGCGTCAGGGAATTGGAGGTTCCAAAAGAGGAGCAGGGACTAATAGTGAGATATATTCTAGTCTATAGTCTTCAATAAAGTAGAGTCTATAGTATAATGTACTATGGTGGGCCTGTACCAACAATGGAATGTTGTATCGTGGTGCGAGAGCCTTTACACCGTCTCAGGGTCAATCAGAGACTCCAAGACAAACACACGCACACATAAATAAATAAATAAATAAATATATATATATATATATACATACACGCCGGAGCTCCACATCCCAGCCCCAGTTTCTGGAGAAGCCTCTTCTTCAACATGTCCGTCTAA